TATCAGTCTCTGGGGTGGTGAACCATAGAGAATCTTCACCAATTGAGACTAACCCCAGAAGGCAGAACAATACACATAGCTATAATACATCAGAATCTTTAGTTGGATCAATGCTACATATCACTACATTGATCTGTTATATATAGCGTTCTCTTACAAATCCTCCTCCTACAGTCAAAATCTGTTCAGTAGAGATGAGGTGTCCACTCTATTTCCAGTCCATTCCACTTCATTCTGAAAAAAAAAAGTTGGCCCACTATTTGTTGGTAAAAGAGTAGCCCAAGAGTTGGCAATGGGTGGTGATGACTAGCTGCCTTCCCTCTAGTCTTACACTGCTAAATTAGGGATGACTAGTGCAAATAGCCCTTGTGTAGCTTTGCGCAAAATTCATAATAAACAAAGAAACCTAAAGTTGGCATATGGCCTATATATCAAAACAAAACATTTATTAAATGAAATAGTCTCCATTCTTATTGATGAGGCTTTTCCATCTCACAATAAGGTTGTTAATGCCCTGATCAAAGAAATTACTTGGCCTTGCAGCAAAAAACATACCAATGTCCTCTTTTAACACCTTCCACATTTGCATTTATTTTCCCATTAAGACGGTGTTGCAGTGAACGAAAAAGATGGTAATCTGATGGTGCTATATCTGGAAAACATGGTGGGTGCGGGAGAACTTCCCAACCAAACTCCATAATCTTGTGTTGCATCAAACGTGCCACATGTGGACATGCATTGTTGTGGAGAAGAAGAACACCTTTCCAATTGACAAGTAAAGGGAGTTTCTGATGAAAGGTTGGATTTAAATTCCAGTTGCTGACTATAGATATCTGCATTGACAGTTCACTGTGGATTTAGGAGTTTGAAGTGAATTACTCCTTTGATGTCCCACCAAATGCAAAGCGTCACTTTCTGCAGATGGAGTCCAGATTTTTCGGTCGGAAGTGGTTTTTGTCTAGGACTGAGCCATAGTTTTTGGCAACGCTTGAACCGCTTTTGGACAGAATTGTCACTCGTGATGAAAAATGGATTCTCTATGTGAATATAAAATTCGAGTACAAGAAGGGAAACAATACCTCTGTAGCCACAAAGAATATCAGAGAAGTTTATGGAAATGTTTTGAATATTCATAAGTGTCAACAATGATTCAGCAAATTTCTTTCAGGTGACTTTAGCTTTAAAAACTGTGATGGGAGGGAATGTTGGAATTGATATTGAAGCTATGAAGATGCTTGTTGTCCCTGAAATTGCATGTCTTTTATGAAACAATACATCTAAGGAATATGGGCAAGTGTTTGGGTGCTTCTCGACCTCTCAGATGATCATTGTTTCCAACGTGTGAATGTTGCTTCATCTCTTCTCCCACGTAATGAAAGTAGGGAGAATAGGTGGGAATATGTAAAGAGGTGAGTATCTATTGGAAATATTAGGTTGTCAAGAAATTAATGTCACATTTTGGAACACTTTCATTAACTACCCCAAAAAACATACATCACATATAATAGTTAAACAAACCACCTAAAAGTCACGTTAGTGTAACCTATATAATGTGTAAAGTTTGTATTTTCTAATCCCTTATAGTGATGGCACACAATGAGACACACATTCAGCATGTAATTCTACCATGAATATTTTTTTTATTGCTTTGTTGAAAGAATGAGGATTCATTAGCATAAATCTAAAGGGAGTCATTGTGCATGGAGTTGGATTGCACTCCTATTGGTGGAGGGTTCTGCTGCTTGATTACATTATTATGCATTAGTCAAATTCATTTGATTTCATATGAGGTGAGGTAGGAGTTTTTATAAGGCTGGAGGTATGTGGAGGTATCTATTGGGAATACATCCTCAGGTAAGGAAGTTGTTAATTTTCATAAATCAATTGAATTACCTGTTTAATGGACTTATACAATGAAGCTGTAATGTTAATTCAGTTTGCCTGAATATACTGAAGTTTGCCTTGTAATTATCATTCTTCAATCCAAGGGCTCAGAAGCCTAGAGGTATTATCATTTTTGAAAGTTTGTGGTCACTAATCATTTTACATTTACTAAAGTAATTACTTATAAAACCATTGGTTGATTTTATATGAGATTGTAAATACCAAAGATTTCATGGAAGCCACATGCAAAATCTTGTTACTGTAACTTTCAATTCAGCAAAAACTTATATTAAACCTATTGCTGTTATTTTAAACCATTTTCGTTAGACCAGGGATTAAGTTTATCAAACAAATCATCAACACTGAACACATGTATGTATGAAGGATTATAAATAATAACAAAATTTTCTTACCTAATTTCTGAAAATTAATGTTTTTAGCATGAAAATCTTTTAGAGATATAAATGATCTTATAATCATTAATTTTAACTTGTGTAATTAGATGTTGTTGTTTTTTTGTCTTACCTTGAGACAGTGGTATGTTTATGGATTTGAAATACTAAAATTCAGCTTTCAATTCCCCACAGTGGACACAGCATGGGAGCCATTGTGGCTTTGCTTTATACAAACATGTACAAATATAACTTTTTTTACATTAATTACAATGATAACATTTGTAACATTGCAATTCTGAGACTTTCACATTTCAATACCAAATAATTGTAAAAAAAAAATAGGAATTCTATTTCAAAATAACTAAGTTACATCCCTTTTATTTACTGTTTCTAAATATGTTGATAAAAAAGTGATATTTATTCCTAACTTTAGAATCATAAAGTACAGTATACTGACACACTCTATTTTCTTAACTATCATAAAATTCTGTCATAGTCTTAAAGTTGTTTTACTAATAGCATTCTTAAAATACTATTTAAATATTTCTGTAAACAACTTTCACTTCACTGTGATATTAATATGTACTTCCAGTTGTTCAGTATTTCAGAATATCTGTGAAACAAATTGTTTCTTTAATTTAGTTGTTTGCCTTTTTTTAATCTTTACATAGACTTAAGCATTCAGCCTAATTCATTATAAATGCTATTTATCATTTCTGTAGTTTCTAATTCTCTTTCACTATTTTATTTCCTTTATTCTGTTTCACTTTTTCTGACATTTTCCTTCTTTTTTTTTAATTTAACCAAATTTTAAAATAGAAAATATAGTTTATTTCCTTTCTCACATTAATATGCCCTTTAATATTTCTTGTGTACTGATTTTAATTCATGTTTACCTTAATGTCTAAAATTATTTTACTTAATGTGTTTACTCACACCACTTTGTCTCTTTGGTTTTATTACATTGTTCCAGGTCTCAAGTTACCTCCATTCCACATGTATATGATGTAATAAGGATTCTGGGCAACCGTCCTCTTATAACTTGTTTTAGTAGGTAATATTTTGTAGCTGTTAGGATGCTCTGGGCTTGAGCACTATGTGTCATCCACCTAATTTTTTATATAAACATATTTTATAGTACTACTTCCATCAGCTAGTGTTTTAATTTTCCTTCATTGGATGGAATCAGTACATGATGTAAAACACCTAAGGACAAGATTTAAATTTTAATCATAATTTGCTTAATTTAAAGTGATGTTAACAAACAAATTATTATTATGTTTCTTAGATGATGTACTGGATACAGTTTCACTTTCTTAACTCTGGCATTTGAAAACATTAGTAAATGGAAAGTGAAAGCATAGTCAAATATGTAATAATATGTCTTCCATATGCAACGTGAATGAGACATTTTTGACCACTACCAGGGCTTATCAGGTTGTATAGATAAGACAAAGTACACTGAGTGGTCACAAGTAAATAGACACCTAATTTTTCATCATTTAACTGATTTATGCTAACTAATTTGTGTTCACAAAGCACTATATAAATGAAAATGGTCCGCACACTAATTATCTTGTGCAACAACATGCCTAAAACTCAAGGTTCTCATGAATTGTCAGATTTTGTTAGAGGAAGGATAGTTGGTCAAGCAGATGGTGGAATAAATCAGTGACAAATTTCGCAGAATTTGGGAATCCCGCTTTCGACAGTCAACAGAATTATCGTGCAGTTCAGGAAACACTGCAAGGAAACAATTGAGCAGCATCCGGGTCAACCTGGTCCATCGAAGAGGACAAAAAGGGGTGTCAAGAGGAGCATCGAAATGGATCCCAGATTAATGACTGCAGAAGTGGCCAAAGTTGGTGGGATGAGCCTGAAATCTGTTCAACGGATTCTCCACAGATTGGGTTATTGTTGCAGAGCAGCTAACCGGAATCTCTTATTAATACCTGCCAACATAGTCAGACGAGAGAAGTGGGCAAGTGATATGATGACCAAGCCTCTGGACTTTTGGAAGACTGTATTATTCTCAGACGAATCAAGATTT